CAAGGGGATTGATAGCCCTGAGACCATAAAAAGTCTTGTCTATCACTGAAGCTAGTGACAACTTCATATTTTTCAGGGGTAGGATGGCACGTCTTGATCTCTTCATAGTGATGCTCTCCATAATTTAAACCTGGATCAACAACCCTTGGCAGAGACAAGCACATCATATCTGAATTGGAAACTTTAAAATGCAACTCCTTTTTCTCTACTTCTTTTACTTCTTCTTTTATCTGATCAATTGATGAAGTAGTTTCTAATTCTCTAGATGGGCACGTCTTAGCAAAATGTCCTCTCTTATGAAATCTATAACAGATTGTGGTATCTATCTTAAGAGTTTTAGAGTACTTACATTGCTTAGCTTTGCCTTGTGGCTCAAGTGTCGGTTTTGTGCTTCTCTTGTGAGCTGTGATTTGTGGAATTGGATTTGGTTTAACTTCTGTTGTTGCCACTGGTTTCTCAGCCTTTGACTTCTTTTCCAAAGTGCTTTGAGACACTTTCTTTGGCTCAGAACAGCAAGCTTTCTTTGACTTAGAAACAGGCTGCGGTTTTGGTGTAGACATCCACCTCTTTGTAGCTGTTTGGAACATTAGCCTCTTGGGAATGTAGCTGCGGTTGTGGGACTGCTGTACAAACTCTCTGTACATACGCTGCTTTAGATTACCCCAAGTGATGGTAGAATTATTATAATTGGCCACAACTTCTTCTTGTTCCCACCATGTAGTAGATTCTCCCACAAGCGAGTCAAGTGCATATGAAAGTCTCTGATCATTAGGAATATTTTGTGACCTCATCATGTACTCTTTTCGCTCTCCCACTGTAGGTAAGCTTCTGGTCCTCATGACCTGAAAAATAGATATGGCGTGGCTCATCATCTACCTCATCATCTATTGTTGCACCATCTGGCTGGTCTTGTTCGGTGTAGTTGATGTTGTCTCCGTTAGGCTCTTGTTCCTCCTCGTCAAGCTCTGGTCCATCAACCATGCTTTCTTTTAGCTCTGTCTCGTGGCTCCAAGACTCACCATCAGTATTGTCAGCATCTATTGAACTGATTTCAGAATCAGTTACTTCGCACCATGGCCTTTGGTAAGGTTCTAAAGATTGGCCTTCTTCTCCATGACCGAAATCTCTATGCTCTGAGTCATATCTGTCTTCTGGCTCAGTATTTTAGTCTCCTTTGTGATGTTGAGACTCAGTTTCGTCCTGCCAAGGACCTCCTTCATGGTCACCTTCTACACCTTCTTCTCGGTCTGTCTCTTCATCTCTAGACCAAGCTGATTGATTGGTGTTGACTCTGCTGTAATATGGTGGCTCTGGATCGTACTCTTCACAGTCTAAATCATCTCCAATTCCAGAGCTGGTGTAGCCATCTCCTGGCCACGGTGGAGACTCATAGTCAGCCTCCTCATCGGAAAAAGCTAAACTCTCTTCTCCTTGACTCCATTGGCCTCCATTAGATTGGAACAGGTCTTCTTCTTCTGATTCAGCCATGGCGGTTGCTCCTTATGGTTTATCTCGCAAAGGCAAAGAGTAAAAATATGGATCAATTTCTAACTAGGCAATAAAAGGAAAGAAATAATTTTTTGCAAAAATAAGAAAATGGTAAAAACGATTTTTCTTTGCATTTTTTTGTTTTTACTTAAACAAAAATTAAAAAATTTAAATAACAAAAGGAAAATTCGTATTATTTTTTTTATTTAAAATTAAATTAAACTACAGAATATTTCAAAACCAAGGGATTTTTTTTTTCTGTCTTTTTTTTAAATGGAAATAATACAAAAACTAAAAATAAAGAGAAATCAATAAAAAGAAATATTTTGTGGATTTTCTTTTTATGAAACGAAACTAAATAAAACAAATAAATAATTTTTATTTGGTTTTTGAGTTTATAAAAGAAATCAAATAACAAAAACAATGAAAACAAAATTGAAACAAGTTTTTATGGGTTTTTAATTTTATGATGAAACAAAAACTGAAATAACAAAAAGCAAAAGATAAGAACAAAAGCACCTTGATAGGAACTTGTGCTCTGATACCAAATGATATAAGATTGGAATCACATCAAGTCTTATAATTCACAAGGTTGTCAAAGACAACAAGCTTTGCGGAAGTGGATATGATGGTGGGATGGAAGGTGGTGGATTTGATTGACTCTCTCAATCGATGGTGATTGACTCTCTCAATCTGTGAACGAAATAGATTGTTTGAATCTCACAAACAAGCTAAGTTGCAGCTTCTATAGAGCTAAGTGAATCACACACTTAATTCTAAAGAAAAAAGAACAATCTTTGCAAAGAAACACTTTGAAAGAAAACAAGAATACTTAGTATATTTCTGGATTGAAAGGTGAGTTTTTACAATGGACTAAGAGGAGCTTATATAATGCTCTTACACGTTCTAAAATGCTAAAGACAAAGAAACAAATCAAAGCTAATCAAAAACTAGCCGTTAGGCTCTAAATGAGTGAATCTCGGCCAAATATGAAAATGCGATGATGCCTTTGTATCTGGACGGTTTTAGGGGATAAGTTAGCTTCTCTGGAATATTATTATCTTCATAAAATACTCCCAAGTCGTAGCATTCAAAGGAAAAGAGCCGTTGGAGAGTTATGGCTCCAAGTGTAAATGCATCTATATATGGCAAGTGAAGTTTCAGAAGGATCCGCCTGATCCTGTGAGTTCTGGTGCATGGTGGGACAATATTTGGACCCTCTGATTGGTAAATGAAGTCTCCTGGTCGCCAAAGTCGGTTCTGTGTTGAATTGAACCGATTGACTCTCATACTTGCCATAAATGGCTCGGTTTGTCTCAATTGAAGATACAATTGGATCCGCCTGATCCAATGCGTATTGGTGCACCTTAAGATGTTGTGGAAGACTTCTAGAAGGAACTCAGAGTCTCCTGGGCGCCACTGACATGTTTGAAGTCTCCAAAACCCGGAAGGTTCCAAATAAGGAAAGTGGGGGATCTATTGGTTTAGATATTGAATATCTCCTAAACCAAAATCGATCTCAGTCTGATTCTAATTCTCCGTGATTCTCTGATGAGTCAAGATTCCAGATTCCAGAAAATGTTGGTTTACAGCTTAATTCCTCTTGGTTTAGTTAGAATTCTCCAATTAAGGCGGATATGTCTAAATCGGGTAAGTTGAGGATCACCCGATTTATAAACTTAATATCTCCTTCATCTGAACTCCAATTGGACTGATTCTACTTCGAGGCGTGCTCTGGCTGAGTTAGGAATGTAATCCAAGTGGTATTTGGGCTGGAACACTTGTTCTTGGACTTCATTTGGCCTGGACAAAGCTCACATGTCTCCTTAGCTTGTCTTGGCTCCATATTCTCCTCTCCTTGTTTCTTGATTCCTTGCTTTATGTCTGATGATGACTTGATGTCCTCATCAAGAATCATCGTAGAGATAAGCATGAACTTATTGGCTACTTCCTTCGATGCTTTTTGTTCATACTTGTCTTTTCTAAATAATACATTTATAAGAATCTTCTTTTTAACCATCTCATTCTAATTGAATAGTCTTGATATTATTTCGTTTTTGTTCAACTAAGCTCACAATGATACAATTCCGAACTTTTATTTTCATTTGGGGAAAAGGAAAAAAAAATACTAAAAACATTTTCAACCCAAACTCTTATGTTAAAGGTGTTATATATTTAAAATGAGGGTTTGAAAATGCATTGCTCCAATGGTAAAACCTCAAATTTAAGAATTTATATTTGGCATTATAATTCTCAATATTCACAATTATTAATTATGATGATAAAATTTTCATTAGTAAATATAAAACACAGAAAGAATTTACAAACACTATTAATAAATAAATAATAAAAATTACATATAAATAATAGGAAATCAAACATAAATAACCCAATTTATAAATTTATTTTGTGCAAAATTTATATGTTCATTGTAGCTTTAATTTCTTGTGTTGATTTACTTTTTGTGTTGATGTATTTAAACGTTATGTAATATATTTTTTTCTATATCAGTAATTTTGTTTTGAAATTTCATGTATTTATTTGTGTTTTATATGTGATTATTAAATTTATAAATATATATTCACATTTAAAGGATATTTAACTATATAAACTTAAAGAAAAACAAAACAAAAAGTAAGTTTGTTGATAAGATATATAACTTTAGAAACTAAAAAATAAAATAAACAGTATTTTATTTTTTTGAATAGTGAATTTTCTTGAGGATTCTCTACAAAAACCTTTAAATTTGAGGGTTTCTACTTTGTATGTTGGGTTGGAGATGCTTTAAGAAAGAAAAGATTACATTTTTTTTGTTTTTAACCCACAATTCTCAGAACCGATTCTGATTATAAGTAATAAATAGTTTTTTTATTCGACCAACAAAAACAAAAAAGTAGTAAAAAGTATTTGGGTGAAACAACGTTTGTGTTTAAGCAATGGAAAGTTAGAAATGCATTAAGGCGTATAGGTGTGTTTCAGACATTTTGTAGTTATTTTCACTTATGTACACAACCAAAGGTTGTAATCGGAATGGTTCCTTCCAGTGGAAGATTCAATTTTGTGGATCTAGACTATTTCATCGAATTTCCTTAATATAGAATTATTACATTAACTTTTGGCCATCCAACTATATGAGCTGCAATTTGAGTTTACATGAGCCGAAGGGTGATTAGTCTGGCATAAAAAGATGGTAATTGATCTTTAAACCGATGCGTTTGATTGATCTTATACGGTCGCGTTTTATTGATTTTAAACATATTTTGCACATAAAACGACATCGTATAAAGAGAAGGGTGGAGGGAAAGGAAAACACGCGAAAACAGAACCGTAAAAATTCTCCCGCTCTGTTTTGGCAAAAACATTTTGGAAGCATTCGTCTTATCACGTGGATCGACTCTAAGAACCGTTGATTATTTCTTAATCGACGGTCAATAAACAATCCTTAATATTCACCGAGATTTGAGAACATGAGATTATATATAACCTCACTTATCCCCATTTCATTCACATCTCAACAATTATTAGTCCCGAGAGCAATCAAATCCAATTTTCTCCAGAAATTTCTGAGATTTGAAAAATGTCTGGTCGTGGAAAGGGAGGCAAGGGTTTGGGCAAAGGAGGAGCCAAGCGTCACAGGAAGGTTCTGAGAGACAACATCCAAGGAATCACGAAGCCGGCGATTCGGAGATTGGCCCGTAGAGGAGGCGTCAAGCGAATTAGCGGTCTGATCTACGAGGAGACACGTGGCGTCCTCAAGATCTTTTTGGAGAACGTCATCCGCGACGCCGTCACTTACACCGAGCACGCACGGAGGAAAACGGTGACGGCCATGGATGTGGTTTATGCTCTCAAGAGACAAGGAAGAACTCTTTATGGATTCGGCGGCTAGGGTTTTATAAAATTGCTTTGTCTTCTACTTTTGCTGTATGTTTCAGAGTTTGGTGTTCAATCTAGAAAAACACTAGAAAGTTGAGGATGTATTTGCAATTTGGTTAATACAGTCTCAAATGTTGATCCTCTTTTAGTAATTACAGCTTCTCTATGCTTTGTTTGATTCCTCTGAACACGACGCGTTTTAATTTCACTCTTGACAATCAGATATCTAATAGAATCTTGGTTTAGAGTTTATAACCGGATCGGTTTAATTGAAATAACCGATCTATATCTTACTGTTCCAAATTATTTTTTGTTCTAAAATGTGATTGTCACACTTGACCAATCAGATACCTAAAAACGTCTTGGTTAAGAGTTAATAACCGGATCGGTTTAACTGAATTAACCAATCAAAATCTTACTGTTCCAAAATATTTGGTTTTGATAAGCCAATCAGAACAGTATTTGTATAATCATCTCCCATATTCTATGAGAGAAAGAGAAGAGTCGAGGAGAAGAAGCTAGGACCTTGGAGCACATCGCGTGAAATTTGACCGGGAATCTCTTGATTCTCGAGTGATGACAGCTCCGGGAAGCGAAGACATCGTCGTGATCGAAAAGGCGAAAAAGGCGGGAGAGGCGCATGTTATCACCGTGAATTGTCCAGACCGGTCCGGTTTAGGGTGTGATATTTGCAGAATCATTCTCGATTTCGGGCTGAGTATCAGAAAAGTAGGTATGATTCAACAATCCTTGATTTTGGGTGATTGATCTTTGTGTAATGCTCGAGAGGTGAATCTGATTGTTTGTTTTGATTGTATTGTATTGTATAGATGTTACAACAGATGGAGTGTGGTGTTACATAGTTTTGTGGGTCGTTCCTCATTATGATTCTCTGATATTGAGATGGTCACATTTGAAGAACCAGCTTGCATCTGTTTGCCCATCTTGCTCGACCTACTTTGTGCTTAATTTGATGTCTCCTTGTACTTCATCAACACATGTTTACTTGTTGAAGTTCTTTTGCCTAGACCGGAGAGGACTCTTACACGGTACTGTTTGTATCTTAACCGTCTCATGGGTTTGGTTTTTCTTTTCTTTTTCTTATGAATGTCATCTTAAAATGTGTGAGGATTCTGTTTTGTAGACGTTACTCAAGTACTAACCGAGCTTGAGCTCTCAATTCAAACTGTGAAGGTCACTACAACACCAGATGGGAGAGTTTTGGACCTTTTCTTCATAACAGATAACATGTGAGTGTGAGTTTGACAATCTGTGCTCTTTAATTCTTTTGAATCTAGGCATGAATGATGATGATTCGTACCATTTCTTGCTAGGGATCTTTTACATACAAAAAAACGCCAAGAAGAGACACTGGAGCAGTTTCGTTCTGTCTTAGGAGACTCATGTTTAAGCTGTGAAGTACAATTGGCTGGTCCTGAGTATGAAAATCATCAAAACATTCCATCTCTGTCTCCAGCTGTGGCTGAAGAGTTGTTTACGTCTGAGCAGCTCACCGATGAAGACAATCGTGTACAGGTTCTTAGTGATGATATGAGAAAGCTAAAGAATTTCACTGTCACAGTGGACAACTCCTTAAGCCCGGCTCACACGTTACTCCAAATACGCTGCGTTGATCACAGAGGCCTTCTCTATGATGTATTACGAACCTTGAAAGACTTTGACATTAAGGTATAATGGCAAAACCGACATGGATATTTTCTCGAACCTTTCTTGGTGATATCTCTGTTTTTGCAGATATCTTATGGTAGGTTCTCGCCTCAAACTCAAGGTCATAGGGAGCTAGAGCTATTTATTCAGCTGAAAGATGGAAACAAGATCGTGGATCCTGATAAGCAAGATTCGTTATGTTCACGTCTGAAAGCTGAAACGCTTCATCCTTTACGAGTCATCATAACAAACAGAGGACCAGACACAGAGCTTTTGGTTGCTAATCCAGTTGAGTTATCCGGTAAAGGCAGGCCGAGAGTGTTTTATGATGTCACCCTTTCACTGAAAGTGCTAGGAATCTGCGTTTTCTCGGTAAGAAACAAATCTAATTCACAGAAATCTTAGAATCACTGTGACTCTGATCACTGTGAACTGTGTTGTCTTTTGATTGTATCTCAGGCTGAAATAAGAAGACACACGGCTAGTGACCGAGAATGGGAAGTATACAGATTTCTTTTGGATGAAAATTGTGTGTTCCAGCTCGGTAGCGTTTCTGCTAGGAATGAGATTGCTAATAACGTGAGAAGAACATTGATGGGTTGGTGAATTGATGACATTGACATTTGTAATCTCTATCTCGGTTTTAACAAGCTTTCATAAATCTGAACGTGGTTACATCAGAGTGTAGAGGTGACCAATATGTCAATCACCATGATCTTGCTTAGGTTTATCAACTATCAAGAGAAGGGACAAGAGATCAATGTTGTGAATTTGTGATCGACTTTTACAACGAAAAGAGCTGAATGAAAAACGGAATGTGGGATCAAATATTATCTTGCTCTCTCAACTAACGTGTAAAACAATTAAGGGCATGACTCTTATGTTATTAAACAGCCAAAACTAGTTAGATTCTTATGTTATTAAAACTTATGATCGTCGACATGGTCTACAAATGTTTGAACTTTACAACAATCCTCAAACTCTTCAAAACCTTCAATTTCAAATTTTTTGAAAGTGTTCCTTTCGGGATTGAAGAGAGTATCTCTGAGGATGAGATCAATCGGGATGGGATCTGAGTTTTCTCCTCTGTTCATGATCTTGTGCTTGGTTACAAAGACTTAAAAACAGAAGCAGTCGCTGCTTATATAATAGAAGTGAAAGATTAAAAAAAAAAAGCTTATATAATAGAAGTGAAAAATAAAAATAAACAAGAATGGAAAAAATTATAAATTCCCCCGCCGGGCTTCGAACACGGATTTCAAAGTTTGGCAGAGACTTAATGTCTATTTGTTTAAGACTTCACGAAAATTTGGCAGAGACTTAACCAGTGTGCTACAGCGGATCCTGTTAGTTTAAGACTTCACGAAATTTTATTTATTTATTAGATGTAAACTCAGGTTGTTACACTTGGCCTTTTGATTACAAATCCTTTGGACTTAAAATGTGTTGTATTACACGTACCCTTCTTCCATACTCAAAGGTCTTGAACAAAATAATTTATTAGCAAGAGTCTTTACGATTATTTTTTTCTTAAAGATATATACATATCTGAGACGCAGATGTGATGAACAAGAAAGGATGATAACGGTGAAAAAAATTACTTACTTCTGATGACTAAGGTGAATGTAGACGAAGTATTTAATGAAAGTATCTAAAAGCATAGGTGCCCATAATACACACATCGACGATAAAACGCACATGGCAACTCTCAAAGTTGTATGTATTCATCGTTTGACTTGGTGGTATAGTCATTGTAGAGGACTAGCTAGAGTTCCTCATGTAGTAAGCGGTGGGATACTCATGTAGTAAGTGGTGGTGGTTTTCTAGAACACACCAGATACAAGTTAAAGTCACATACACAGCATATGAATTATGAGTGTAACCGTATAACCTTAGTGAGAGTTAATTGCACACAAAATGCAAGAGTATTCTTTTGTACTGGAACCAAACTTGATATGCTCAAACTCAGAGTAAATGTATCCATCAGAGACGTGAGTTAATTAACATCCGTCAAACTAACCCCCAATGAAACGAGATGAAAGAAAACTTCACTAAAATAGAATTAGGGTTTTGGAAGGATGGAAACTTCACTGGAAAGAAACAGCCGCAACTCAATGGCCATACATGAGAATAGAAATATGGGTCCAAGGGCTTCACAGTGATATCTAGATCGCTTTCTGGAACTTTCTAGATCGCCGGCAAAATACTTCCGAAGTTTCTTGGAACTAACATCAATGCAAGCTATAATATCAAAAGGGTAATCATATGTACGAGCAAAGTAAAACACAACCCCATTGATGGATATACCTTTAGATATAAGATGATGGACTCGACACTGAAACTTTCCTCTACGACACTTTTCCAGTTTGGAAAGTTAGAATTTGATTCTCTTCATCACCATGATAATATGAAGGGCTGATGGACAGTACCTTGAATCGTTTGTTAATGGAATCATACCCTAAAAAAACCCTAAAATATTCGCTAGGTAAGCTCTACTGTCCTGTGCTAGGGTTACACATCATCAGCACTGTGATCATATCCCTCTTTGACATACGCATTTTAGGGAAATAGATAAAACCAGAGACAAGGTCACAAAACTCTTAGCACATTGTGTCTCCGAAAGATTCCATATGAGAATGGCGTTAGTACAATAGACATCTTTTCATAAAAAACAAATTTCCGCTGCCGGGCTTCAAACCTGGATTTCAAAGGGTGGTAGAGACTTGATGCCATCTGTGTTCTGAAATTAGCCAATGTGCTACAGCCAATCTTGTTATTTTAAGTTTAGGAAAATATATATTATTTACATGTAAACTCAGATGGTTACACTTGCTCCATTAATCTTGATTATACATTTGCTCCATTAATCATGCAAATACTGTAGCTCCGAAATGATTCAACAATCCTTGATTTTGGGTGATTGATCTTTGTGTAATGCTCGAGAGGTGATTCTGATTGTTTGTTTGGATTGTTTAACAAGCTTCCATAAATCTGAACGTGGTTACATCAGAGTGTAGAGGTGACCAATAAGGCAATCACCATGATATTGCTTAGGTTTTTCAACTATCAAGAGAACGGACAAGAGATCAGTGTTGTGAATTTGTGATCGACTTGGGTCTTAGAACCTTTAAACTATAATATTAATCTTTACAACGAAAAGAGCTGAATGAAAAACGGAATGTGGGATCAAATATTATTTTGCTCTCTCAAGTAATGTGTAACACAATTAAGGGCATGTAGATGGTAACCAGAGAAAAAATTTTTTGAATAGCTAACAAAGTTATATAGCTCACACAAAACTTGTAGATGAGAAGACACACTAACAGCCAAAACTAGCTAGACTCTTATGATATAAAAACTTATGATCGTCGACATGGTCTACAAATGTGTAAACTTTACAACGATCCTCAAACTCTTCAAAACCTCTGATTTCAACTTTGTTGAAAATGTTCTTTTCGGGATTGATGTATAAAACATACAATGGTGTAGATGTATAGTTCATCGAGAAAACAATTTTTCACCTGTTATGACCTGTAGCAGTGGCTCTGACGACAACGAGGGGAATAGGAACCTTACTCTCAATGCCAGGTCTTAGAGAGAAATCACGTGTTGACCATTCTTGTTTCCTGACATCCTCTAGAACCCACAATTACTATACCATTGCGTTCTAACCCCGCCTATTTTACCGTTGTAATTTATCAGTTTGGTAGGCCAATGATAAAAGATTTCGCTAATAGCTTTTTCTTCAAGTAACCAAACTTTTTCTAACCTAACACCAAAGTAAACTATATTCGCCCGAGGCTGACAGCCAATAACAACAGGTTAGGGAGCTAAGTAATGCAAAACCCCATTGATACATACTCCTTCACCTAAAGGATAATATGGGTTAATGGCATTTTGATCGTCCTCCATGACACTTTTCCAGTTCCTAATTCCAGAACTTGATGCTCCCTTTCACAAGTAAACAGTATCTTGAATCATTTGCCAATCGGATCATACCCTAGAAAGGTTTTTTCCAAACCCTTCTTCTTCGTCATTGGTTTGGGGAAAGCTCATGTACTGTCCCGTGCTAGGGCTATATATCACCGGCACTATGTTCGTATTCCCCTTTGAGATTCGCATGTTAGGGAAATAGATCAAACCAGAGATAAGGCCACAAAACTCTGAGCACATTGTCTCTCGGGATTACAAATGAGAATCTGCGGTTACTACAAGACACGAATTCTGAATCTGAGGCAACTAGTAGAAGTGGCACTTACAGTCTATTACATGTAAACTCAGATGGTTACATTTATATTACTTTACAAAATCTTTGGACCTAAATGTGTTTTATTACACGTACCCTGCTTCCATACTCAAAGGTCTTGAACAAATTAATTTTTTTTCAGTGTTTTATGAAAGTAGCTAAAAGCATAGGTGCCCATAATACGTGAAAGTGGTGAGTCGTCGTAAACTGAATAGAAAGCGCAATCAAAGGTAAAACAAAGAAAGAGACGAAGCAGCACTCAACAATAGAGCTGAGAACCACAGGGACAAGCGTAGAGAAAAAGCGGTATTAGATCACTTATATATATATTTCGTCAGAATTTCATTGGAAATTAATAAAAATATTTTCCTACCAATAATTTTGTAAAATATTTGATAAAAATATGACATGTTTTCTTTTATTATAATACTCACAACAATGATTAAAAACGCACATGTCAACTCCCAAAGTTTTAATCGTTTGACTTGGTCGCATTGTCATTGTAGAGGACTAGAAAATGCTCATGGGATATATTGATAGGGGGATACTCATGTAGTAAGCGGTGGTGGTTTTATCAAACACACCAGATACATGTTAAAGTCATATACAGATACAGTATATGAGGAATAACTATAACCTTAGACCTTAGTGAGAGTTAATTGCACACAAGATGCAACAGTTTTCTTTTGTGGAACCAAACTATAGAGAGGATGATTGTGAGTGGATAGTTTTAATGCTGTCTACATGCTCTGATAGTCAAGCAGTTTGGTTTCTATTTCCAAGCTGTCACATGTGCAGAGTCTTATGATATCATTTTCAGGACAAAATTTTTATTCAAAGCATGATATATACACAGTCCTACCAAAATACCTATAGTCTCTATTATTGCTCCATTAATCTCGAGTGATCAAATACCTATAGCCTTATTTGTTTGTAACTATTCAAGCATGAATTCGTACGTAGATAACTAAATAAATGTTCCATAAGTCATGCTGGAACAGTTTCTTCTTTCTTATTCACATTATTTCATATCACCCTATGTATGTTCTATAATTTGAATTTCAAATGGCATATACATATTTCAATGTTGTGATCAACTTGGGTCTTGAAGAACTATTAAACTATGATATCAATCTTTATTAAGAAAATAGTTGAATGAAAAAACGGAATGTGGGATGCAAATGTTAATTTGCACTCTCATGTAACGTGTAACACAATTAAGAATTCAAGGGTATGGTATGTAGATGGTTTCCAGAAAAAATAACCAAACGAATGGTCCGAAACTTATAGAAGAGAAGCCACACTAACATCCAAAACTAGCTAGACTCCTATGTTAAAAATTGAAATCATCGACATAGTCTACAAATGTGCAAACTTTACAACGATTCTTCAACGCTTCAAAACCTTCGATTTTAACACTTTTGAAAGTGTCTCTTTCGGGAAATAAGTATGGAAAATATAACAGTTTATATATATTGTTCATGGAATTTCACCTGTAGCAGTCACTCCAACAACAACGAGGGGAGTGGAAACTGTTGCGAATATCTCTTATTTCGATTTACTTG